GTACCATCAATGATTAAAAATGCATTTAATTTCCTATAGTGATTTGAACTTATTTCAAACCTCTTACATTCTAGCTTAGTTATAACAAGGAGTAAGGTATATTTAAAACAGCTCAAGATATCAAATATTTGCAGTGACTAGACTATTTACAGCCTACTGTTTTCATATCTTTCAATAGCATGTTATACATTGACATAAAAAATTTTGTCTTTTTTTTTTATGATTAACTTTGCTAAACCATTTAACATATAACTATCACTTACTATGCTATATAAAAAAATCATGCTAAATATCTGCTGTTTATATTAAATAATAAAATGCACAAAAGATCTGCAAATGAGACCAGCTGATGTTATTGTCAGACAAGTTAGATAAGTCACAACACGCATAGAGAATTAAACTTGTTTCAGCTCATTTTTACCAGTTAACACTGACCAATACTACAGGTGCCACAAATTGTTAGCGAAGGTCAGAAGTTTGCATATTTTGTCTAATAAATGTAGATCCATTTACATTTCAGATTTTCAGTACATGGCATTGGTAAATGTCAGGACATATTAGAAAATTGTTAAGCTTCATTTATTCAGTACGATGTACACTTCAACAGATATAAAAATTTTAAACTTTCATAGTTACTAGAAAGCAAAATATCATTAAAAAATAATTACGTAATTAAAAGTTAATGTTCACATGAAGGAACACAGGTGCTTATTAAGACAACATTAATGCAGTTTATTAAGATAATGTAGTATAACTTATGAATAAATATATGTTGCAGATTTTTTTAAATATTTTAGCAACTTAGGAATGATTATAATAAAATACAAGCATACGGACAAAAGACAATTTCAGTTATTGAAAATATAGTAACTTCATAATGCTAGCAGTAATTACAAAATTAAATCCTACTAAATTTAAAAACTAAATACTGCTAAAAATAATGCAATAATATATTATTTTTTTTTACATGTTCATATCAAAATACTTTATATACACTTTACCCTGAAAAGGACACACACTTAAAATGCTGTATTCATAAATTATATTTATAAGATAGACGTAACTAGTTGATATAAGCACATGTATTTGCAACTGATACAGCTAACACGATATTCCACATCATACATGTAATACATGCAAGAAATAGTTAAAATAGCAGTTTAAATGAATTATACAACTCTTTAGGAATGAGGGAGTTTACCAAAGAAATGACTTTACCATTTCATGTTTTAACAGATTTCATTTGCAGAATAAAATGCTTTTAGTCACGGCCAATTTATAAAATTGTAGGCTTGGGGTAAAACTCTTATGGGGACTCCTCCTTCCAGTTTTTTTCAATGTTGTAAAAATTACTGATATAAATTGTATAAAGTACTTCATGAAATAGCCTTATAATTCAATACTTTTCTTTATAAAAATTAATTTAAACAAACAAAAAATTCCTTTTTTTGTATATGTTTTGTTTTTTTATGGTTTCAGGTTACTTAGAATGTATAAAATACGAGTTTATACATTTTAAACCATCGGATGCGTTTTTGTGGAAGAAAATGTCAAAAAGATGAACTCAATGAATTTTTCTGGTTTTGTTCCAATTTTAAGGAATTAAATTACAAAGATAAGACAAATTAGAAAAGACAAAAAGAAACTGTTTATCAATATAATAATTACACGAATAAAATGTAGAATTTAAGAATTAAATTTGTTTTCCTCGTGAAAGAATTTCTTTTGCAGATTTATTTTACCATCCAGAGAAGCTTGCCTTTCTTGCTTTAAAAATTGTGAAAATACATATGAATTTAATGATATAAGCCCATACTTGTTTTTTGAAGAAAGAAATGAAAACTAAATCAAGATACTTAAAATTTTGTACCTGTTTTTGGTTAAAAGTCTGAAATGAAATTTAAAAAACATAATAATAAATATTAAAAGGACTATTTGGAGGCCCTTCAGACTTCAGAAAGAAAAGACTCGGGCACGCCCTGCTTGTCCATACATAAATCAGATATTAAGCACATCCAAATTTTAGCAAACGAAGCAACAAACACAATTTGAGTATAATAAAAAACCTGACTCAGTATTCTTAAGGAAACATGAAAATTTTTCATAATATTTAAGTAAAAAAATAATCAACAGAACATAACACTGTAGATATAACACACTCTGACCAATTTACTTCAGAGTTCATCTACTACAGTGCCATGCTAAAAACCACCTGCTCAAAAAATAAATTACAATGTGTTTAGTAAACAACTATTATAAAAAGGTTGCCATCACAGAAAAATTAAAACCTGTATATTAACAACAACAATAATGGAACAAAAACGCTAACTTATGTTCCAGTGCCCATTAATTTGGTAACCAAATTTAACTTTAATAGGGAATGAGATAATCTTGCCCCCAAAATCTTGGTTAAAAAAAAGAGTCACTATTTTAAAGATTTTATAAATACGACCCGCATGTGCACATGCACACATGTATAAAATAGAGAGGAAAAAAAACATGAATACTAAAAATAGGGGGGAAAAAACTAATACTGAGATATTGCCCTAATCTATGGCTTCAGTTGATAATCTTTAAAAAAGCTGCCAATAATTTCTGCTTCTTTAAACCTCAACAGAAATGAAGTGGACTGGCAATGCCAGGAATAAGAACATACATACTTACCTACATGATTTACACAAACTGCATCAAGTAATTGATGCAAAAATAACTACAAAGTCATAGCAGATAGGAATAAATCAAAGGAAAACTATCTTTACTGTAATAAATTAATTCGAATATTGCATATCTTCAGTCACCTCTAAATTAATTAATATCAAGAAGAATATAAATACAGAAAAATTCTAAATTCTTCAATAAATTCATAAATTAATGAAAAAATCTTATTTTCTTTAAAATATCGAACGCAGTACACCTGTGATAACAAATGATATTTATTACCTTAATTTTTTTGATGTTTTATGCCGTTTATTTTAGCGTCGAGTATTTGCCAACATTTCATGTCTGCTCGGACCATGAAAGCTAATTTTAATCGACCAATTAAAAACAGAATTAGCGAACTTCTGTTTTATCAATTTCAAATAGATCTACATCAAGGATGGTTTATACTGAGACACTATCTTACAATATACTATAAAGATATATCAGGAACTATTTCAAAACCATATATCACTACAAAACTCCTGGCAAAATTTTTGGCACATTTAACTAAACATGTGTAGCTCTTAAAAACATCTTCATATTATGAGACATGTTTGGGAGATCCAATAATACCTTTTTGATAGGACAAATCTATATTGCATTCTCATCACACAGATAACAACTTCTCAAAACAACTAAGGACATAAGCAAAACTCATTTAAAATCAAAAGACAGTGCTCTCTAGCACAGATAAGATGTATTAACACATTAAGCACTGAGTCTGCTTTGTCTACATTTAGCCTGCCATATCTGATTTCATTGATATGCTGGGGTCTAAAGATATGTGTAGAATTTGATAGAATATAATTTTAAAAATTATATATCATCAATCAGCAGTGTTGAATGTGATCTGAATGAAAACTACAATATCAGCCACCAGCGACTGATGTAGCCTAAAGAGAAAGTATACTGTCAGTTACTAGTGACCCACGTAGCAATCAACATGTTAATGCCATGTCACCCATTAACACATTATAAACTTGCACTGACCATTGATTACCACAAACAAAAGCTTATCCTCCAAAAGTCAAAAGTAAAATGCTACAAACTGTTAACTGTGAGCAAGGTAGAACAATGTAGATTTACCCATTTCGCATACTTGCCAACCTACAACACTCAAAATTCAGGAGAATTTTTCAATAACAAGAAAATTATTTAAATAATAAAAATATGTAGAAAGAAAAAAATATTTTTTAATGATGTATTAACTTTAAACAGTAACTAATTAATATCTGAAAATAAACACGTTTAAAAACTTTATAGTTTTTAACTTTAAACAGTTTTTGTCCTTGCACTTTTTTTTGCGGACAAATTAACGAAGTATTAAGCCAAGCTACATAAAAAAAAACGTGAGAAATTTTAAGAAGAAAGGGAAATTCATTAATCAGATTGGCGGTAGTATGGTCAGAAATCGGAAGAGTTGGCAACTCTGCATTTGGATTTTAAATAACCACATTCATTAAAATTTTTATAACCATATTTTCCATCATCTAAGCATATTACAGTAAATTAAGCCTAATTTAAAATATAAATTTATTTATGAATCTGCTCTTAATTTAAAAGAACACATCTATTGTTACACAGTAATTTCATTTCTTTTTTATTCATATACATTCAGTACAATATGTACGATAATAGTATAATGCTAAACATTCATTTACAAAGCTTTTGACATTCTGTTTAATTTTATAACCTAAAAATTCAAGGTTCTCTATCAATACTGATATAGAGTTAAGAAATGACACAGCTGAAATGCAAACATGCTAAAACATCAGCTAAATAGTCACCTCCATAGTCAAAGTTTAAAAAGTTGACAACTGCATGTGATTGATATGAATAATATGCAAAATAACTTCAGTTTTTAATAAATTAGATACACACTATATTTTACTATATAAAGTAGCTTTTAGCACAATTACAAACAAGAAAGTTTTATATTTTCAAATTAATTCAATTTAACATTGATTATAATAATTTATTGAACTAGTATGAATTGAAGGGGAGGTGTAATGATTTGCAAGGGTATAAATCAACTCTCAAAAACTTGGATCACTTAAAATAGCTTTTACGTTTAAAAATCAGTTTTTTTTTTTAAATCTACAGTTTAAATTTAAAAAAATATATATATATCAGTTTAACTTTATCTATCTAAAACAGCTGAAATAACACTTACCAAAATCATTTATACTGGGGGCTGAGTCAGAAGAGATTGGTGCAATACCTACCAATGTTTGGAGGACATTCATTGTTAATAATTGAGATTAATGTTAGAACTAAAAAAAATGCATAAATCAACATACCGGTTCCAGGAAGGGGCAGGGCTTGGAGATTTAACATCAGCTTGTGAAGAAACTGTAGGTTCTATTTCTGGTAAGTTTTCTATTTCAGGTATTTTAATACTATTTTCTGTACAGTTGTTTAATTCACAGAATGCTAATAATAAAATTTACAAGAATAATTATACATAAAAAACTACATTTACAAAAGTATTTAAAATATTTACATACTGAAAATAAAAGACAATTTATAAATCTGATAAAGGTATGCTTAAAAGTTAAATAAAATCTTAAACTGGCACCAGCAGATGTGTCAACCTACCAAACTAATTAAAAAAAAATTTTTTTTAGTACTTTCTGATTATTCTCACCACCATGAAGATGTGAAAAATCATTGCCAATTTTGGAGGGCATTCCCAAATCATTGGAGACTATTATTTTCATTTATGCTAATGTGACAAAACAAAAGTTATTTTCAAAATGTCGCCGCACTAAGAATTTGACAAAAAAGCAATTAATAAAATTAAAATACGAGAAAATTCAGTAAAAAAAAAACCCTTTGAGAAAACCTGTAATCTTCTGCACTGTTGTTCTTCTCATGCACACAAGGATCAGTTTTCACTAAAAAAATATCAGAGAACAGCATAACTTTATTGCTGCACATTAGTCAACTATAAATAAGTAAATAGCTGTTATTAAAGACATATGGTTATCTTTCAAACAACTTCCAATTCGTATTATAATACTTACCGTTTTACACATTGCACTTGGCGGTTTAAGAAATACAAATATGCAACTTCATAGAATGTGAAACCCCCTTTTTTTACACTAGATAAACATTCCATTTTCATTATTTACACACACACACACAAAAAAAAAAAAAAAAAAAAAAAAAACATTATATAATCATATAATTGATGCAAGAAAAGAAACAATCAGAAAAATAAGGGTTGAATTTTGAAAGTGCACATAAACAAACTTGTGGTATGCACATACCTGAATTGCCATTTAAATATTTTCTGGCACCACTCTATTTGGGTAGGATATGTTGCCCCATGAATATTTTCCACCGAATATCAATGATGGATATGCAGTGGCTCCCAAAAGTGCTCGTACACTTATGGTTTTCATTGAAATAGGGCTCTATCCTTAATTTAAAGTAAACTTTCCGAATGAGATTTTAATAATCAGATCTATACTCTATTCCTAACAAAATTACATGAAATATTTAAAATACAGGGAAACTTTATTTTTAAGAAATTAATAATAAAAAAATGACAAACGTTTTATCTCACAAAAGTCTTCATACACTGAAATATTTTTGGATAAAATCAAAATTGGAATTACCGTTTGCCGCTTTTTTAAATTTTTGCATTGTGGTTGCATTTAAAAAATCATTTGCTTTAATTTTTTATTGTTTACTTCATAATATTCTATTTATTATTGAAAAATGGGTCGCAGTCGTAAAGAAATTACAAACAGCATTCAAAAATTGATAATTTTTCACCACAGTAGTGTTAAATTAATTCGAAATATCGCTAAATTAGTTAATTTATCCTATTGTACAGTGCAGTATGTGATAAAACACTTTAAAGAAGAAAATCGGATTGAAAACAAGGTAAGAAATGGTCGACCGAGAAAGTTAACTAAACGTTATAAGAGATTTATTATTAGAAAATTTGTGAAAAACCCATATTCGTGTGCTGTAAAAGTTTCTGCAGAATTTAATGCAAAGTTTTCTACTTCAATTTCACCTGAAACTGTTCAACGAGTTCTCAGAGAAGCTGGATTACATGGGCATTCTGCCTGTAAAAAAAATTTTTGTTGGTGAGAAAAACAAAGCTTAGGCTTTCATTCGTAAAATCAATGATAAATACACCCGAAAACGTACTGGAATAATGTCCTATTTGCTGACTAAAGCAAATTTAACATTTTTGGTTCCGATGGTCGAATAACTGTATGGAGAAAAAAAAAAAATGAGGAACATCATTCTAAGAACTTAATTGGAACAGTTAAGCATGGCGGTGGAGGTGTTCTTGTGTGTGGATGCATGGCAGCATCAGTACTAGGTAATATGGTATTTATTGATGGCATAATGAATCATTCTCTTTATTTAAATATTTTAAATAAAGAGACAATTTAAAATTATAAGCCCGAAATTTGGGTATTGGAAACAACTTTATTTTTAATCATAAACTTTATTAATGAATTTAACTTTATCAACTTTATTAATGAATCATTCTCTTTATTTAAATATTTTAAGAGACAATTTAAAATTATCAGCCCAAAACTTGGGTATTGGAAACAACTTTATTTTTAATCATGATAACGATCCTAAGCATATGGCTCTCAACGTTCACCTGTGGTGTCTCTATAATTGTCCACAGTTTTTAAAAACACCACCTCCGTCGCCAGATTTAAATCCCATAGAACACATTTGGAAAGAACTGAAGGTTAGAGTATAAAAACACGACATCAAAACGAAAAGCGAACTCAATGGATGAACATTCATTCTTCCATCATCTTTTGAGAGATAAAATGTTTGCCATTTTTTGATTATTATTTTTTAAAAATAAAGTTTTGCTATATTTTAAATATATTTCATGTAATTTTGTTATGAATAGATTATAGATCTTATTAAAATCTCATTCATAAAGTTTACTTTTAATTAATGTATAGAGCCCTATTTCAATGAAAATCATAAGTGTACGAATACTTTTGGGACCACTGTAGGTAATCAGAAAGTACAAAATTTTTAACTTACAAAAGCATACAGAAAGAATTTTTTTTTTTTTTTTAATAATGAACTAACACTAAATACTATCTAGTAAGTAATTGAAATCAAAATTTATGCTGCTATACTTTTAAAACTGCAAAAATAATTTTTAAAATAACTCTGTTATCGTATATTTAATATTTCTGCTTAGATCATGAAAAAGAATTTTCAGATTTTTAACATAATAAAATAATACCCATAAGGTTACCAAAATGGCTGGTGTCATGGTTAATCTTACATTCATTCTTAAACATCGGCTAATTTTGCATATAATGGTATAGAACATTTCATATTTAAATTATCAAAGCCAAATGAATATTTACTGACTGGAACTTTGCTTAATAAAGAATATATAAAAAGATGAATTTTAGAGGCACAGAGCTATCTTGCTCACAACAGTGAATATGCAGTGTCACAACAATGAAAATATTTTCATAAAACTTTCTATATTGTTTCCAGTAACTAACAGTACACATGTAGGATCAATACTTAAAGAAATAGAATCTGCAGACACCTTTTTTAAACACCTTGTACAGGAACGGCAAACCACTCTCATTAAAATTTCTCATTTCATTTATTTTAAAGATACACAACAGGATAAATCTAAATCGATATTGGTACTCATGATTATCCAGGTTCAGATTTTTTGGGTGACATTTTTCTTGCCAACAAACAAAACATCAGGAGTAGGTGCCAAAGTGAAAGCAAACAAAGTAGTTAAGCAAACTTGAGTTTACTTCAAAAGATAACATACAAGAAGAAAGGATGATTCATAACATTTATACTTTTGCTATCACATGTGAATGTAAAAATGAAAATAACCATGCTGGAAAGTTATAATTCAAACAAATGGATTATTAGTGGCATATATTGTAAAACAAATGCCAAAATGTTTTTTGAAAATAGCTAAAAATAAAACTGAAAAAACTTTGATGGAACCAAATACAGAAAATGTGGCTGTCAACTCAATAATATTCACAAATTTGTTTGAAAGAATATTAGATGCAACTGTAAATGAGGATTGCCAAAATACCACTGAAGATGCCAAAACAGACTTAGTGTCAAGCAAATTATTGGCAATAAAACATTAATTGGGATAGCTGGTAAGTACCTAGATGCTTATATTTGATGCAGTGATGGCAGCTTATATCTAGATAAGAAGAAATATATCCCCAAATGTTTTCATTCAAATTCCTCAAAACTTTTATTTAAAAGGGGTAAAAAGACACTTTTGTAGATCTTAATTCTATGTATGCAAAAATACTACTAATAAAGCTTTTACTAAAAATCTGTTACTTTTTAAATAGACATTTCAGTGTTGTAACAACCCTTCATGATTTACAATCATAACAGAAATCATCACTACACAGAAAAAATTATAGAATTTGATCTTTTTTTGCAGTAGTCACTCCTATGGTTGAGTCATGGTTAGAAGAAAGAAACAGCACTGAAGTGACTATTCTAAAATAACACACTATAGCAAATCATGATGAATAATCTATTCATCAAATACTATGAAACTACTGAAAGATATGCTACATTTATTTTCTAACCTAACTGAATATAAAACTCATCTTATTCCCCACTTCTTAAATGAAATTAGGAATATTATAGCCCATACTAATCAATGTTGAATGTTTCAATCGTATTCAGAATCTTTAAAGTTTTATTGGGTAAAAAGGGGATAAATATTCACTTACTTGAATTATAGTGCATTTAATATCTACTGTACAACTTTCGCCACCTCACTTGTAGGACATTTATTTAATAGCTCATAAGTGTGTGTGTGTGATTATGGCAAAGCCTCGAGGGCTATCAGCCTAAAGGGAGGGATGCCTTCGTGGAGGACTTTCTAAGGGAAACTGGCTCGTATACACGTTACACATGGGGAAAACCACGAAAACACCCATGCAGCCAGCCCGTTCGCGGGATTCGAACCTCGGACCGAACTACCAGTGTTCAGCGACTTTACCTCTCGGCCGCTGGTGGGCGCTTAATAGCTCATAAGTAATATGAATGAAAGTTTACAAGGGAAATTTTACTACTACTACTGTAAAATACATTAAAACTAAAATTATAGTCAAAATGCTGTGTTAAAAATGCCTTTTTATTCTTTAACAAAAACTAACTTGACGGCTCAATAACTTAACAATAACTAAGTACAGTTCTACTGTACTACATAACTCAAAAGCTTTTTTGCTTCAAATTTGACATGAAATACTGAAGTAAATTAAAGTAGCAAGTTGGATATAACATTCAGAAAAATTTTGATAAAACAGTATAAACTCGTCAGATAAAAAATTGTACCATCAAGCAGAAGAACATTTATTAAACTCCTACTTATGAAGGTGACATAACTAGCAAAGGAAATTCTGCATTGTTGCAGAATTCACTTATATAAAGTAGCACTCAAGAGCAAGCGACCATTATTTTATTTGGTTATTTTTTTGTTAAGATGGAGAAGTGGTAAGATGTGACTAATAGAAATGGGCTGTGATGATTACTACACAGTCAAGTTGCCAGATCAGTTGGAGTTTTGATGCAAACTGTTCAACATGTCTTCAAGAAGTAGTTTAAGACTCATGACTATGAAACATGACAGAACTGTTGTCAGAAAGAGATTCTGAGCCAGATGGATCAAAGGCAAATTGTATGGCTTGTAGATGCAAATAGCTTTCAAGCCAGGATAACATTTGCAGCATTCTATGAGTAGAAGTCCATCCCAACATATTTCCAAGCAGACACAGCAATTGGAATTGCATGCGATGAATATGTGGAGAGGCCCTTGCTCCGACAGACACACACAGATGCACATCTTGAATGGGCTAGGAATCGCTGATCTTGGACATTCAGTGAATCACGATTTTGTATACTTTCAAGTGATCTATGACACTGAGATTACTGAAAGTTCAATGAAGCTTTTTATTCTAAATGTGTCTAAGACTCAGTTCAAGCCAGTGGTGATTCTGCAATATTTCGGGAGTGTTTTTTGTGTCACGATGTGGACCCACTTGTCAAGTTAGTATTTGCATAGATTATATTAGCATGTTTATTTAAACATTCTCAAAGGTCACATGTTGTCCTCAGTCAACACCTTCATGAAGAGTATGCTATTGACATTTTTTTGCTTCTAGATAACAGAGTTCACAGAGCTGCACAAACATGTGACTGGCGCATGATGAACTAGATGATCAAATCTTCAGCAAGGGATATAAGCTAGATCTGATATACATGAAGAAACTCGTAAACTCCCTTCCCAAATTCAGGTTATCATGGCCATAGGCACAGGTCATACATTATAATGGAATTTTGCTAGGGTTGACTAATTTTTTAATCCAGTGAATTTATATAAACCCAGAAATATGTTTATATACTTGTATGAATGTACGAAATGTTATAAACCATATTCTAAAATATTACATCTCAACTACAGAGAAATGACAATTTACACAGAAAAAACAGTTAATTTATGGGTTCTAAGGTATATTATAGTTAGAACCCAACACAGTTTTCTTAAAAATGCCCAAATACAAACTTTTATACCAATGTCTTTTTTTTGTACATTTTTTTTTAAATATGCCCAGTTTAAAACCAACTTTCAGACCTTATATATAAAAATATAATAGCAAAGAAAAAAAGTGATTTTACCATAATTTATGATATTACAAAATATTTAAGTTACATAAGCATTTTAAAACTGTTCATACAACTAACAATACAGTGATGTACAGACAGAATTTACAAGACAAAGAGATATTTCATTTATCTGAATTCTTAAATTACAAATTGATTAAATTTAAAAGAGAAAAATAAATAAGCTTTTATGAAAGCTGCCCAAAATATACAAGATCAGCCTAACAGAAACATATCAAGTACTATTTATAAAGAGAATTTAAATTTATAACCTATTATTCTTGTTTATTTTCATGGTACTGCATGAGCACTCTTGACATCAGTTGAGCAATATGGCTGCTAGCAAGATAGGAAAAGCTTTTTAAATGCTTGAATAGAGAAAAATCCTTTGCTACTGTTGCACAGCATCACTTTGGAATATGCTATGGATCCAAATCTGCCTTGTTTTGGACAACTTGTTCAACAGATCAGAATTTGGATTTCACCCCCAATGACTACTTCATGTGGGCATACACAAAGGACCAAGTTTTTGCAGTACTTGCATGTTAACAGGAGGAAAAAGAAAATTTGCCAAAGAAGAGTGAGTAATTGCCAACTTTGGCACCATAACGGAAATGAATCACTACTGCAACTGTCTACAAGTTTTATGAACAGACCTTTTTTTGGAGGGGGTGAGGAGGGAATTGATAATTCAATCATTGGTCTACGAGATTTATCAAACAATGAAGTGATGCTAACTGACAATGTTCCACTTTGCATGAAATAACATTTTATTTGAGTCAATCAAAGAATGCATGGAAATGTTAGCAAGACACACTATCGAAAAAAAAAAAAAAAAAAAAAAAAAAGAGAGAAGGGGGTGACAACCATTTATTTTGATTTCTCAGTCCCATATCAAACAGAAGAATTTCAAAATGCCAGTTTTGCACTTTTCGAAGTGAACTATAAATTAAATTTTGGCGATCCACATTTTAGAGTTAATACTCAAAATATTAAGTGGGTATGGGGTTCTTCAAAAATAAAAAGGCTTAAATGAAAATTTTGCTGCTAATGTGAAATGCCCTAAAAATAAAATTATATTCTTTAATAAAAATAACTGTGCTCAATAACTTTATATATAACCTTTTAAATAACTGACTATAGCACTGATATCTGTAATGCTACAAAACAACATACATAGAATGTTTGAATTTCGCGATGTAAACTTCGGGAAATATTCTAATCATGTAAATATTACTTCCATGCTATTAAACTCTTATTTCCATAAAACACCGGAAGTATCTCTTCGGTATTCTCCTTGTATTATGTAAACCACATATTTACAAAACATTACCATTCCTTTAATGTAAATGAGAAAAATCAATTGGAGGAAAATAGTTTCCATAATTAAAAAAAAAAAAAATACAACTTACTATCACATGTCTCAATTTGGCTAGCACATGAAGAAGCTAAACAACCCGTTTTAAAATCTCCACAGTCTAAAGAATTTCTCAGTTCTTCTTGAGGAATGGAATTTGGCAATTGATTTGTGCTTTCAGTTTGACATATTGTTGGCTCAACAGAAGATTCATAATGTATTATTGACTCTGCAAGAGGTCCATAATCTATTTTAGGCTCTGTAGGAGTTTCATATTCTATTGCTGGCTCTACTGGACATCCATAACCTATTGCTGGTTCTGCTTGACATTCATAACCGATTGCTGGCTCTGCAGGAGGTCCATAGTCTATTGCTGGCTCTGCAGGAGGTCCATAGTCTATTGTGGGCTCTACACAAGGTCCATAGTCTATTGTGGGCTCTACACAAGGTCCATAGTCTATTGTAGGCTCTACACAAGGTCCATAATCTAAAGGCTGAACACTGTCTAGAGCACTCTGATTACAACTGTCTTCAGTAGGCAACAGCAAACAACTTTCATTCCCATTTCTAGAAAAAGGAACACAGTTTGTCCTTTCATAATTTTGAAGTTCACTTGGTTCAAGACAGATTTTAATGCAATTATTAGGTATGCAATTTAGAGACTGAAATTCCATTGATGTCCTTTTTTCATTTTGAAAATTTACAGAGTTTGCACAAGAATTATTTTGCATCAATTTAGTTGAAGCCACCTTTCTCCGAGCTTTTTGTTCTTTGATGAGAACATCTAATTCTTTTGATCTACCGGGAACAGCTCTTCGCAATGCACTACGGTGTTGCTGTAAGTTAAAAAAATAAAACTATTTGCAAGGCTATTTACTTATAATAAACAAAGTGCCATTTTCATAAAAAACAGTAAAATATGATTGTTGAGTAAAAAATATAAGTGATAAAAGGAAAATCATATGGAAATGAGAATTTCATTACAAAATATGGACAATTTGCATCGATTTCAAGAAAATGGTATTTAATGCAAGTTTACTGTAATTTTGTTAAAAAATACAGCTGACTTTCATTAGCAATTGAAAAATTTTTGCCATGTGATTTTTGATGGTTTATATTTTTCCCAGACTATCTTTTACTTCCCCAACTTTCCAGGTGAGTGAGAACTCTACATTTAGCCAAAAGAATTATTATTAATATTATTATTTAAATTTCATACTTATAAGTTTTATTTCAAAGTTTTAGAACAGGCTGCTGAACATTCCCTTGATGGTCTTTAAATTGAACTCTGATTGATGAAATAATTTCAGAGACACTTTTTTTTTAATACCTTTTAGAGTTTGACAATGTCATTAATGTCTCATCAGCTGCTTAGAAGAAATGTCAGAATCGTAATTTCATTTTTCTCATCTGTCAAGAATTTTTAAATTACAAGGTGAAACTTGTAAAGGTAAATTACAAGGTGGAGGTTTTATGCACACCAGAAATTTCTCTTCAAATGGTCATTTTAATTTAAATTTTCTATTTCTGACTGCTGTGACAAGAAATACGCTTCATTATTAGCATGTCTGATTCTCCAATAAGAGAAAAGCTACAGAGCAGCAGAATCTCCATACAGTGTATAAAGAGCAAAATGATATGTATGTATTACTTTAAAACAGTTTCAAGCTTCCTTAACTATTGGTAATGAATTTATGTATATATTTTAAAAATTTAAGTACAGCACAATGACTTACCTGCATCTTTTGTTATAAAGTTGTGTGATAACATACATAAATAGTTTTTTCTAATGATGCTACTTTACATTAACTTTCAACACGATTAAAAAAAAAAAAAAAAAAAAAAAAAAAAAAAAAAGACGAGGTGCTTTAATTCAGCCTGTATAGAAACCATAATTCTTGCTTCAGGAAGAATAAAATGTAGCACTACATGGAATAACATTCTGTATTTATAAAAGAGTTAGAAAATCTCAATTCTTTCAAATCTTTTTGCAGCATTATGATATATATATATATATATATATACACGAGTTTAGGTAGTAATTAGTAGTAATACAGATGAACTGCATTTATCACTTATTTTGTTAATAAAATTTGAAAATCTTCTGTTATCAAGACTGGATTCAGAAATGCAAATTCTGAGTATTTTGATTAAATTTCAAAAAATACTTTATATTTTGCCAAAATGGAAAGACACTGCTTTTAAATGGTTGATTCTATTAATTAAAAAAATCAAAATTCAGGCTTCAAGGTACACATGTTTAGAAGGTAAACTTTTCACAATCTGGTGGCTTTCGTTACTACTGTTTTTTTCCCAGTACAAAAAACATACATAAATGTAAATAGATTCTTTATTATTTAACAATAAATATAATAACTACACTTAACACGATATCTCTTTGAAATCAGAATTGGAAACGTTAAGAAGAAACCTATCCAGATTAACACAAATAATAGAATGAGTAATAAATAATATGAATTTCATGAATTAAAGCTGAAATTTCTTCTATTTCAAGAAAGTTTATATCCTGCATCTTTGCTTTTATATGCTAGCACCTTTCTTCCCTCACAAAATATTTTGATTTAAGAAAAGGGGAAACAATATAAGGAAGGAAAAAGAATTAATTGCACGAACAGGACAGACACAAACGATTTTTTTCCTCCTTTGTGTAAACTTTAAACTGTTTTTTGATTTTCCCACTTCAGATTAAGTACATTACACATAAAAATGTATTAAAAAATGTACAATTGTTAGAATAAATTAGTGTCACTTTTGCACAATGAAACTCAGCAGAGTCAAAAACAAATAAGTGCCTAATGATATATTGGCGAGAAAGGATTCTACCTACGTTTTTGATGAAATGATCAAAATGAATCTCTTATAAGTTTTTTTTTCAGCACTTCAATTTAAATTTTTGTGAAGACTGTTAATTTTAATTTGTGTTACACTTGAGTTAACCCTTTGGGTACACATTTATTTGAAAATTGTTTTCACTTGGAGCATATTTTACCCTTTGGCTACATTTCACGTATCAGTATGCCATGCAGTGTTTGGGCAAAGATGCACATGACGTTCTGATACATCACTGAAACCGAGACGAGAGTTAGCTAGTTCATTCTGGTTTATTTCAAAGTAATGTGTATCTGCTGTAACAGAACAAATAATTTCAGTACTTTGGTGAACCTTGTTCGGGATACACAAACCCCATAATGATAAAAATAGAGAATATATTTTATCAAAAATGATAGCAACAGTTTTAATGAAAGTAGCAATCTTGAATCTGATAAAGAATTTTATAATGATCCTTTAAGCAATTAAGAGGATGGAGTTGTGTATCCTAAGCATGGTTCATCAAACTACTGAAATTATTTGTTCTGTTGTAACAGACACACATTACTTTGAAATAAACCAAAATGAACTAGTTAAATCTTTTCTCAATTTCAATGATGTATCAGAATGTCATGTGCATCTTTGCTCACACAAATGCATGATGTACTGATATGTCAAATGTAGCCAAAGTGTTACGCAAACTCTAACTTGTTAAATAAAGATTTTATAGTAATTTTAACAAGATTCCTTTATAAAACTGTGCTAAACAGAGGACAATGTACTTAAACACAACTGTTTTAAATGCACGACATTATCAATATTTAATATTTTTATGGGTTTTAGTATTTAGATTTTATGCATCATTCAACAGTTTACTAGCCGGTTCATTTTCTAGCGATGAGAATGTTCAAAACATTTTCCAATACAAAGGAATGGCCATATTTCTTCCTTGTGCCATAGCTTATGAAAGATTTCACAAAATGCTCTACATACATACTTCCTACCCTAAATAATTTATGAAACTTCACTTGCATTTGACAGAATAGAGTATTATTTTATATACAAATGTAAACTAGTGTGTAAAACTTGCACAACTTTACCGATTTTGATCACAATTCTGAAAAAAAAATCAACTGGGAGACATGAAATTCATACTTCAGAGGTACGATGTACTGCTTAAAGATGAAGGTATAACAGCAAAAAATGGACAGTATATGTACAGTATTGAAATGAAAAAAAAGAATTCATTGAGACAATGACAAAGAAACTGTCTGGCCAAGAGGAAGAACAACAAACCAAAGAGCTTAGTAAGGGATATAACCTTTTTTAACTCAAACTTGCCAATCATTTTACCACATGTAAAGGCATCCTGATGTTTCTTGTAGCCATGGTACACATACAATCTCACTTTCACAAGAATGCCTGGAAATGAGTCTTGCTTCCTTCTTTTCAAGTTGTTTATACTGAATGTGCGAACTCCTTGCGTTTTGCATGCCCTGATATATCCTCCAATGTCATGATGGTGGTAACTGCATATGCTTCATCTTTCTAATTGAATTTGCTTCATACTCAACGTTAAAAGCCCCTTACAATAATTTCCTCGCTGCATGTTGAGAAATAAATTTGTTGCTTAAGTTTTGCACACCAGTGTACATTCAGATGATTGAAAGGTTAGTCAGATTACAAGTTGGTTAAATTTCAATAAGAATTCTTTAATTATGCTCTGATACTCGAATATTACTTTATTAAAAAAGGAAAAAATATGTTATTGTTAAATCTTTATTCAGTAAATAACCCTTCAGTATAACACTGAATTTTAAAATGATTTTCAATTTTTGGACTTAAATTTTTTGAAAATTCATTTTTAAAGTTTTAGTTTCAGAAAAGTTTTAGAGAAGAATTTTAGTTTTTTTTAAGAAGAGTTAAGTAAAGAAGAAAAATGTTAGGGTAATCTTGGAGGTGAAAGAAAAGATTATTGAAAAGTATGAAGATGGCATGCATATCCAGAACATGGCTGTTGCAAACCATATACAGAGCGAGATGATGTCCATGATAGTGAAAAACAAAAGATGTTATTAAATCAAGTAATGTTCCAAAGAGTGTAAAATCAATTACCAAACAAAGATCAGAGATATTACAGTATGATAAAAAATTGTGTTTGATCTCGATAGCAGAAAAAAATTATGTACAGTATATATTTTACTCATTGCATATGTTTTTAATATTAAACAGTGTTATAACAACAATGAAAATAGGATTTTTTAAATAATAACAGATTAATTAACTTCTTTTTATTTCTGATTGGAAAAGTTTATTTGGAATACATCAAAGAATCGAGAACAGATTAATGAAGTACAGCCATTTACCAATGTACTCAGATATTAGCTAATATCTGTCGATACCTCACCAAAATACACTATCCCTGTTTCTGAAATCCAGAGTCTATCCAGATTCATCTATAAAGACCGGATTTTTCATTTTTATTATCTATTTTTAGGAGACGGAATACAAAGAAAAGATGACAATGGATTCTTCTCTCTATTTCCAATAATGATATCAGCACTGCATCAACTTTTTCGATAACCTTATCACCAACAAAAAAGTTCTTGGAACAAGCTTTGTTCATTCTGAGTTAATTTTTACTCCATCATACATTTTCTAGTTTGCTGAGAAATGAAGCAGGAGCAGTTCATTTGGGAAATGATTCGACAAAACTCATTTGCCTTCTTAGTCAGCAGAATTCATATAAAGTACAGACTGCTACAGAGAATAAAAATCTGATGAAATTTTAAATTGCCAAATAATACTAGTAAAATAAAAACCTGCCTTATTGATCTGCCAACCAGGGTTTGGTAAAGCTCGATGATTTGAAGCTCGGTTAAGCTTGAGCTTGATTATTTTTTCAAGCTTTCGAGCATTTGAAGTTGACATACATTATCAAAAGACTTATAATGGGCTTATAATTAAAATAATATTTTTTAGAAATTTAAAAGAAACTTTTTCTTCACTTATACATTTATTTATGCATTTACATTAATGAAAAAATATTTTAAAAACACAAGTGCATGTAGTGATATATCCGACAGCTTCGACCTAATTTTGGTGCAAAAATTGTTGGCCATGGAAAATACCCTCTCAGAATCAAGCGACGTTGGTTTTATACTGTAAATAGCTTCAAGTAACCGCTTTAAATTTACAGTCAATTCACCATTACTTTTTGACAAATTCTTGACTTCATATTTTAAAGTGGTCACTTTCCGGTAGTTTGCTACTTGGAGCTTCTAATAGTACTCTTAAGTTGTTCTTCAAGAGAAGCACCAACTTTGATAGTTGTTTCTGCTTCACTGCTTGATTTTTCATTTGATGAATAGGGTGATGAATCTGGTGACGGAAATAAATGCTTCATCAAAGCAGCTGCTAGTTCTATAGAAGCTTTTGATGATGTTTTATTTAAGTTGTTTAATGAATCCATGAAATCTATGATATTTTTGTTGATCCTGCTATTGATGTAAAAAATCGATATTTAGAGAAAGAGAACTACTTATTTCAGATTCTTGTTCAGTTAACTTCTCTCGTATAAAGTTGACAGGAATATACACTGTTCGTAAAGCGCTTGTTTTTCACCCATAGCGTTAAGTGCCACTTCAATTGGTTTTAACGTCAAGACTATGGATTTTATTAATTCCAGGTTTAAATTTGTTAAAAGACGTTCAGGTCCAAGTTCAATGAGTACATCCTTTGTAACTTCATACAATTTTACAAATGTTTCAAGCATTTTCAGCATTGAATTCCATCTGGTTTTACAATCCAGAGAGAGTTGTAGCTCTATCTGCAATTTTTCTCTGCATTTAGACTTGAACAAATCTGAACACACAACAGAATTTTTGAAAAAAATTGCAACTTGTCTCACAATATTTATGTTTTCCTTGAACGATTAATTCTGTAATTCAGTTTCAATAATGCTCAAACCATTATCAACATCATCAAAATCATCAGTCTTTCCTGAACTTTTTTCCATCCCTGATTTTTCTTTATAAAAAGTTTTTGTAACAGCCAAATGCAAAGCATGTGCAAGATATGTTTGATAAAAAGCAGGTGATTCTTTCCCAAACTTGATCATAACACTTGCTCCATCCCCAATAGTGGATACAATATCGTGATTAAATGATAGACTAAAAGATTCGAGGTGCTCATCTACAAGTTCTTGCATTTTTTTTTTTTTTTTTTTCCATTACAACTTTCAAAAATTCTTACCAGTCCAAGATTGATGCTTTTTTGGCAGGCAGTATGCAGATTTATATTCAGGAATCTCTGGTTACCGATGCTGGTCTATTCATCTTTGTTAAAGGATAATTTCTTTGATTCGGCAATATCTTTTTTAATATCATTTTTGAATTTTTGTTTCACAGTTTCCATATGGTTATGAACAAGAGTATTAGATTTTTCGTTGGCTAGAAGCTTCATACCCCTTAAGGCCAATGATTGTCGAATAAACTCTGACCGAGTGATTTGACGAATTGATAAACCATATACTGCAGCCATTTTTGCAACAATTTCTTCAATTGATGTTTTGATTATGAAATTATCCAAAGTATATGTTTTTTTAGCTGTCGTTTCTGCCTCTGCTTTGTCAACATCAATGTTATGAATGCCACTTAGATGACGACGCATTGTTGACTTATTTCCATTTAAAATAGAAATTTTTTTATTGCATTCATTGCAGCATGCATAATTTTAGTCTGCCTTGGTGAAATGACTCCAAACGGTTGATCTTTTGTTTTTCGGCATGATTACTATTCTAGAAAATACCATTCTAGAATATGCGTGTATTCACGGCTGTAACTCCAATAATATTAACCATTTTTACCAAAATATTGCTAAAATTTTGACTAAATTTGTGTTGAGATGTTAGTAATCGCATTCTTATTGGTTAAAAAGAAGCATAGCTTTCTGTCAGGTCTAAAGTATTCCGAAACTTAATTCCATTCTATTTGCTTACGATTTGTTAAAAAATGATCTGCTTGTATCTCTGCGTGTATTTCTCTGTAATAAATGTTTGTTTTGTGAAACACGGCATTTTCAATGTTTAACAATTTGTAATTTTGTTTTTTTACCGATACTAAGAAAATAAATATTTAATATTACATACACGTTACTACTTAAAATTAAAAGTACATTGCTTCTATCAGTAAAGATTAAAAATTCTTGCCTTTCTGTGTACTGTATTGTATGTACTGTAGGTCGCAACAAATTCATCTCTTTACCAAAACAAGTTTCAACACTGTTAAGGTATAAAAGTACTGGTAAAAGTAAAAGCATTATTTTACTGTATACATTTATAATCCTTTTATTGTTCCCACTTTACTTATCCGTAATACAATTACAAAAGTTTTGGTTTTTATATACTTAAAAAGGAGCAGTTTTATAACACCAATAAAATGTCTTCTAGGATTCTTAAGAAATATCTTGACAAATAAATAAAATGCAGAACGAAAAACATTTTGTATGTACAGACCTTGAAAGCCCATCGGGCTTTGATTCAAGTATCAAGCTCGAGCCTAAGCTCGTTCCAAACCCTACTGCCAACATCTTAAATACACTCGACGTCAAAAAATGCCAACAGATTATTGATCCAATATAGGTACCAGTTAATACCTAAGTGCCAATATAACAAACATATTCTCAGTTAAGAAGATTTATAAACACACTTTTTATAATATTTGTAAAATTTCAAATTAATTACAAAACAAATTACTTCTTTGAACAATATAAATTAAAATTTTTAAATACGTCTACTCATTTGTATATTTTAGAGGCTAAATACATAACATGGAAAACATCAACCAGTTAACAGACATAACCACTTTTCAAAAAGATCTCTTTTGCAATTAATGGCATATTAAAAATAATAAAATTTTTAAAGATATCAGAGCATTCTACTTTTCAGCATTCAACTGTTTTATATATAAAAAAGCACACTATTTTTAATGACTAGAGATTAACTATAAAATTTATATTTCATAATTATACAATAAAACAGTTTAAATAAGCAAAAAAATTTACTTTGCAAGTAAGAGCTTTCACACACGGATTTCCATCTGCCAAAGGAACTCCACAGTGCTGATCTGGATTGAATTCTTTGGCTATAAAATTAAAATAGATTAAAATATTTATATGAGCAAGTAAGTGTTGCAATGATGAAATTTATTACAACTATTTTTTTTTATTCACAATTATATATTCCTTTTAAAACCTTGTTTTAAAATTTTTTTAAAAAATATTTTATCATAATATTCTAAGATTAATCAGGTATATGTTTTTATGTAACATAACATACTACTTTAATAATATATATTGATTAAATTATTTTTAAAATATCATGCAAATAAAAAAATAAGATGTAAAAGATATAAGTGTTTACTTCAACATGCATTTCTAAAAACAATGCATACTTTATATGTGCAGCCTAATATAAAAAATTAGTATTTAATTTAGATCACGTGACAGAATTTTGCAGATCATTTATAAAATGAGAAGTTTTTATGCATAAGCACTCTTTTTCCTTATAAAAAGCCTTTAAATAAGAATTTTTTTGAATTACTGATATTTCAAAAGGAAATTAATTACGAGCATAAATGTCTTAAATACATAAAATTAGGAACTACGCGAGTTGAGTTCCTACAGTTTAATTAAATACTCATTACGCGTTAATTCCATTACAGCGGAAAAGATCAAATACATAAAAGTGACCAACCACATAAAACATCTCTAGCACAACACTATCACTATATAGCTTTTTCAATTTACCTGCATTTGCAGTCAGCAGTTGTTTTGGCCTTTGAAACTTGTTAATTTCGAAAGACAAAACATCCTCCTTTTATCAAATACATATTTTTAAGCAGTATATTTATTATTTTATTAAGTATATACTTTTTTGCGTAACTATTTTATTATTTTGAAGTATTTATTTTTCAAAAGTATGTATTATTCATTATTACATTTCTATAAACAAATACTTCAATAATTTTTCCTGTGCACACGTATTTCCGATAATTACCACATACATTGGCAGTTTTGTACGCCTTACATGTGCTCATTTAATATCTGTAAACACTTCTGGTTGATGAGGTAAAATGACTTCCAATTCACTTAGTAGCAAGAGTGGTGTTTTCCGTAGAAACATACTTTACTTAGCTTACAGGCCACACCTAAAACAAAATTCTGCTATTCTGCTTTTATAATTTACACTTCCTTTACAAAATATCTAGTATTATTCAGTCAAAATCCACTCCATATTCTACTGGTTTTTTCATCTGGTGAAACTTGAGTAAACAAATTAATTTAACTAAGTGAACAAGAATTTTTTTATTCCCAATTTAGCAATAAGGTTAATACAGTCCTAGTTAAAAACTTACAGAAATATATGTCTTTTTGTTTGAAAGAGTTCTTTCCTTGCATGACTGATTTTTCCAACAAAACTAATTACCTTAGTTTACAAAAAAAAAAAAAAAAAAAAAAAAAAATCAAGTAAAGAAGCTGTTTACCATGATATTTCGTCTTATTTTATAACAAGGCTTATAATATTCCATTCAGGTTTGTAAGTATCCAGATGAGAGAAACTTATTTTTTCAGCTTAAAAACTGGACTATTTTAAAAAGAGATTTAATAAAAGAAGAAACTCCTTTCTCTATTAGTTTCAAAGTTTTGAATGAATTTAATGCACAGCAAAAAGGTTTAATGAAGGGTGCGGTAAGACCATTTCAAAGGGGAGCACCTGGTATAAATATCAATAAAAATTATGGATTTCAGAAAGCTTTAATTATACAAATATGTATATTACTATGTTTCTTATTTATTACAGAACAGTTTGCATGAATCAATAGCATACACAGCAAATTAAAATGTTGGTTTTAATTTAAAAACAATTTTCAATGAAAGCGTTCCATACCTCCAAAGAATGACGAATCTTAACAGATCTAGGCGATTTCATGCCAAACTACAATTATCTCATCATTTTAAACGTGCCTGGAGCTTTTGTTTCACGGTCAAATTTTGAGCCAATCCCATGACACGACACAAACTCAAAACAGATAGGTCTATAGGATTTTTTAATTTCTGGCTCTTATGCACATCATACTTTTCATGTGTATGTGATAAAATGTAACTGATATAAAAACCTCGATAAAGTACATGGATTTCCAACAGTTTTTTTATTCACTGCATAAGATGTTAGTCAAGCTATTTCTCATACAGTATTTTAAAGTGGAAATTTACTTGAAGAAACGGAGTCCTCTCTTCCGCAAGGAAATGATATTTTGGTACTTTTCCATTTCGCCAGCGCAAATCTCGCCAAGCAGACTTTATTGGCAACAACATAAAGTATGCACATAAAAAATGTTAACAAATGTTAGTTCTAAGAATTTTTTATTTTAAAGGCATAAACATTTTAATAGCATTTAAAATTTTGTAAAAAGCCAATAAATTTGTAAAAAGACATTAATTTAAGAATTTACTATGCTTTTGATGATTCAACATCCTGAGATGCCGGTTTGTATAATGTGACCCCAAGTGATCTCATTCCACGTAAACTACGCTACAAAAATCTAATTCTCTCAGTAATTATTTACATTAATTTCAAGTTAAATCTTAGTTTGGAATACAAGTTCCAGCAAGGATATTCCGTTTGGCACCAGTTGTACCATTATTGGCGACTTTATCACCTGCGCCAGCAAAACGGAAAAGTACCGATTTTTTTTTCTTCTTTTAACTCTTTTGATTACATTCTCTTCATCCTCAAAGTTTTCTTAAAATGCAGTAGCATAATTAATCTTTTGTCTGGAAAAAACTGTGATCAAAAGTTTATGTTCTAAATTTCTTTTGTTTCTTTAATCAATTTCTCGAATTCTTAGAATCAATTCAAGATATAAGTAAATAAGGAGCTTCTTGTTTCCTTTTGAAAACAGATGATAGAATGCTATGCTGATTTTTCACTGGATAAATAAGACGGCAATTATGTACTAATTCAGATTTACTCTTGATAGGTGGAACAATCCAATTATCACTAGATGAACACATTTCTTCATCACAAACAGCTTCCAAACTAGAATTAATATCTGATTATGGTTATAAAACATTTTAAAATTTCTTCTGCTGATAAATATTGTATTATTCAAAGATCTATGCAGCATACTTATATAAGGATATAACAATCTTTAAGAAAAAAATAAAATAAATAAATAAATAAATAAAAGAGGCATTAATTTTATGCCAAGTACTTTAACAAAATTCTATCTAAAATAAAATATTAAAAAGTGGTTTGCACATATAGTAGTACTATATTCCTATTTCTCCCTCAAACCAGTTAACAGGTTTCTTTATGACTGATGTTACAAGAATTGACCTACCATCACGGACAAAAAAGCTAAAAATAGACAAAATGAGAAATTTTCAGGAGAGTCTGAAAGATCACCAATTTCAAGTAAACAAAACTGCAGATACAAAAATTACTGTTTAAAATGGGAAACTATACTATTCCACTAAAATGAGAAATTTAGGAGGGGTGGACTTAGATGTTTAAAAGGAAAATATGTCAGTAATTTAAAAGTAAAATGAATAGTAACTAAAGTAATATCCAGGCTTCTCTCTAATATAGTTCAGAAGAACATTTATACGAAACATGCAAGAATGTCTAGTAAAAGTATCATTCTGCAATATGACAAACAGGACTACCATATAACACCTATACAGCAGCAACTACTGACCAACTGCATTGACAGAAATTGCCACATCTACCCAATATCCTCAGATTAGTTTCCTAATAATTCTTCGTTCTCTGTCTCCCTCCAGTGAAGAAGTATCTAAGAACAGGAAAGTTTGCCATTCTTTAAGGATCTGCTAACAAAATTCTACACTGCTGTAATATAGAAACACGCTACTAAACGGTGGCAATAGCAAGGAACTTTATCAAAATGGATGTCCCTTCCACCATACATATGTAAGTGCATACGTTTTTGATTTTACTCTGCGTTAAACCAATTGACACATTGCACATTTTAATATATTCACAGACACTATTCAAATCAATTTCCTTTAAGCTCTGATACACTTTTCCTCTATTTATGCCAATAACATCCATAAAATTATGGCGATTCTGTAATTTTTTGATTCCTCAGTTTAAATCTAGGTGAAGACATGTAAGCATGGCAAAATTGGAGCCTCCACAGAGCTGGCACAAACTGAGAGGGGGATGGCATATTTATTACATTTTTTGGGGACTGGTGGTCTGGATATCAGATTTTGGACTATATATATATATATATATTAAGTAAGAGGAATGTTAAAAGGATAATGCTAAAAAATACATTTGACACTATAGTTCCTTAGCAAAAATGTAAAATCATGTAACAACTAGAAACAATATTATAGTAAAAGCTATCTTGTAAAAACTAAATGTAAAAATTACAAATTAAGATGACTTCAAAATTTAAAACGGTGAGAAAAAATTAAGAAATTTTAACTCTCAAACAAATTTAAAAAGAACTCTTGTAAAAATTAAATACATTTCAAATATACAGTAAATATGTACAAGAAATTGCAATAAATGTTAAAAAGCTCATGTGCATGTGTGTGTATACGTACATAAATTATATATATCCATATGTATAAGAATTTCATTACTTTCATACTAACACTGTGATTACATTAATAAAGACTTATTTTTTACACATGTGATGGTACAGTTTTAAAGACCATGGTCTCGGAAATGCTTACTAATGAATATGTGAATCCTGGTAAAAATTTATTTGATATTCTAAAATGCAAGTGAACTTACTTCAGAGTTAATAAAAAGTATAAATGAGAATTTTTCATATCTATTCATATGTTAACAGATGATATACAATACACACTCGTAAGAATTACATTAAATTCACAGAAAAAATACTAACAAAATATAAGCAGAGTCTATACATTAAACAGATTATTAAGTAAAAATTTACCTTTAAATTGTTTTACCAAATTTTCTGTTTTTATTGTTGTTAATGCAGAATTAATAGGAATCGTGTTATTCAAAACTACTACTGGTGAAATATTTGATAGAGTCTCTGAACTAAAGTTTTTTATATTCACATACGAATCTGATATAATACCAGAATTGGAAAATCGAAAAGTTCTAGAAATGGAATGATCCCCAGGTCCTGGACCTGATGTGGAAGGCAAGTACTGATAATGAGGCAGAACAGATGAATTGCTTCTAATACTTTCTTCTATAGGACTCAATTTCTGAGAGCTATTTTTAATACTTTCTCCTGTAGGGCTTAATTTCCGAACTACAACTTTTGCTGAGAGTATTTGGTCAATAGAATGATTAAAAGGAACGCCATTATTAGATGATGATGAATAAGTGTCCTTCTTATCATTCCTTCCTGTATTTGAAAGTTTGGCCCCTTCAGATATCCTGCTGTTGATTTGATTGATTTGAGTTAATGATGCACTTGTTTTATGTGAATCAGAAGAGTTTGTAATACATTTTTCTGCAAAAGAAGAAACTGCTTCAGTAAATAAATAATATTAATTACATTTAGATACAATATGAAATTTTTAAGCATAAAGAAAATTTGAATTAAAAAAAGCTTTCTTTCTGAAACAGCAAATTTGAATCCCACTTTCTTTCTTTTTTTTTTTTTTTTTTTTTTATTAAAACAATAATCAAATATTGGCACTTGTCTTCTGTGGCGGCCTGGTGGTACATACCTGCACTGGCGAGAAAAAAAAAAAAAAAAAAAAAAAAAAAAAAACAGTTACTGGTCTGCATATGCGCTAGAAACAAGCGGTAGCCAATTTACACACGTACAAGACACAGACAATTATCGATATGCACGTATGCAAGAAACAGTTACCGATCTGCTGATGTGCGAGAAACAAAGTTATGATTGACCCATATGCGAGAAATAGTTAATAATCTAATTGGTTTTTCATATATTGCTTTATGCCAATATAGTGCTTCACTGTCAAATAAATACTCATTCTTCCATCAGCCAAAACGGAAAATATATTTGATGGCTGAGGTACTGTTAGCAGTAACTACTGACCTGTTACCTTTCTGCTGGCCACCAGAATGATTCTTTAAAAAAATATTTTTGGATATATTTATATACGTTATTTTTTTTTTCAAACTTCTAACAAAACTGCATTAAATAAAAGAATAAATAGAATTTTCCAGTGTGTTTAGAATTTTGCAGCACGTTTATATATGTTATTATGTTAAATAACTTGATTATACGTAACTGTATTAAGTACAATAATTAATTTACATATTAATGAAGTTCTATTAAATTATGCTATTTTAAACAAACTACATGCAAAATTGTAAAAAAATAAATACAAATTCATATCAAATTCCTTCTATATATATATATTAAATACCCGTTGTGTGTAATTATTGAACGAATTACTATTTACCATAGCCAATTTCATTTTCTTGCATGCTTTATATGATTTGGTAACAAACTGCTCTATCTTAATCCTGAATTGCACCAACAGCTTTCTCTCACCAAGGCTCCCACAGAAGACCAATACTCAAAAAAGCAGATAGAAGAAGTAAAGAAAAATTTCTCTGAATTAAAGAAAATGAGCAAATATAGCAGAAACATACTTCTATGCGACTCTATAGCTTGAGGTTTTATGCTTCTACGGCAGTTATTACAGATGACTAGGCAGACATCGTCATACACAGGACAGTAGCCAAATAAACCCATATCTGCAAATATTAAGCAGGAAAAGGTATTAATATAATTATTCAATCTACTTTTTAAAAATTTCAAAAGAAGCAATATAAATTAAATTTCAGTAAAGAACGCGTAAGATAGTAAGGTACTACCATTCAGGACACACATCTTCATTTCAGGTATATTTCTAATACAAGATGAATACATTTCACATTATGTACTATAATTTATCAATTTGAGCAAATTTATTATTTAAAGTAAAATTTAAAATACACAAAGAAAACTTTCAAATAATATCAGTAGTTAATAGTATTAACATCATGTGCAAGGTGAACTATACTAGAAATGAAAACCACCTATACATAATTTAAAAAAAAGCTAAAAATGCTTCAACAATTTATCCCATTGCAAAATATGCCCTCTAGCACATGATTCAGTAAGAAGCATTTTCTGCTCTAAAAGACTAAGTTAAGAGACTACTGGAGGAGTTAAAGCAACAAGAATCAGTATAACAGTCATAAATTTGCAGGACTAATTTTTAAACCTTTGTAATTAGTCCAACAAATTTATGAATATTACTACAATTCTTGTTCCTTTAACTCCTCCAATAATTGTTATTCAGCGTGTTATTTTAACTCAAATTCCACAGGATACTGACTGCTAAAGGTTAATCTGCATTGATTAGGTTAAAAAATGGAAATCATAGCAATAGAAGATATATTTTTCTTTCTTTACCCCATAGTGCTACCCTCGACGCATATTGTTTCATGTTTAATGATTAGAATACTATTTGAAGAACTGCCATCCTGACAATACAGTAGCTTTCTGCTAGTCTGAGGAGGAAAAAATACTGGATCATTTGAAAATAATTATGAAGTTATCTACAAGCATGTAAAGTGTCATAGGTTTATGGCAAAATCACAAAACACTGTGCCTATTCACTTACCCTCCTTCAATACAATACGAGATGCTTTGCATTCAAGATTGTTGGGATTGATATTTCTGGATATCTCTTCCTTAAAAATTGGACTAAAGTCTGGACTTATACATGGGTGTTATTTATAGAGCTGTGGATTTAGAACTTATTGCTGTGTTATTTAGAGCTGTGGATTTAGAACTAAGTATACAAGCATTTACTCAGTCACTGAAATTTATAGCCCAATGTGACAGACTGTCTACCATATGTTCAGATAATGGTACCAATTTTGTTAGTGCTTATAATGTACTGACAAATATAAATTAGAAAGATATCAAATGTAATGAAAACTTGAAACCCCACCAGCACTACTGAAGTTTGACTTACTGCTGATGGAAGGTGGATGATGAAAGTGCTAATTTACCTAGGTTTGAAAACACTCTGATGTGTCTTTCCCATATATGCATGCATATACAGTACAGTCTTTAATCTGGACTCGTCGGGACTTTGGCGATTCCGGATTATAGATCATCAATTTAAATCTGGTAAGATGGCATGCAGAAATTATAAAATTAAAAATATGAAACCATAATTTATGAAATAAAGAGCAATTATGATCTAAAGGGTATCAATTTACAAAAAAAAGCTTAATATTTATTTGTCTACTTTATTAACCTTTTAACTGTCATGCCTGAAAATAATCTCGGGCACAGCACTGGTATTCCAAAATGTCACGCCCGAATATTACTCGGGCTAATTTTTTTTGAGTGCATCGTATTGTTATACCCAAATATATATCGTGAGAAGTTTCTTTCAGCTTCAGTTCAACAGATGGCAGCATTTTACTGAAGGTTTCAAAGGATAGAGGTTAAAGTTCAAAGTGTGCGGCATTTTTTTAATTTTTTGACTGCAAGGCAAACATTTCATTTTTGAAATAAATAAATAAAAAAATTTACAATTTATGCACCCAAATCATCAAAATAACTTGACAGTTAAAAGGTTAACATTTCTTTCATTACGCATAGTCGAAATTAGAAAATTGCAACCAGAAAACTATTTGATGCGTATTCGTGATATTTATAATGACGAGGAAATTTATTTAAATCATATCAGAGTACATAGAGATGAAACACTACATTTAGTAAGGAATTATAAGCCAAATAAAATAAAAACATCTGCCGTGAAGATGAGGATAGCGCTGACAAATCAACTTCCAGTTCATTGCATGCTGCGACGTTCAATTCAATCTGCCATTTGAATTGAATAAAGATGTGGAATCAAAACAGCTAACTTCTTCTTCGTCGTCACTGGATTCCACATTACATTCAGCCAACACAATGTCTGGATTTTGATGGCAAGCATTGTCATCCTTGTGCCTGACTGCCACAATATGACATTACAAAAATCATTACAGTACAAAGTCCGAGATCCAGACTTGTTGGAACTTTGAAAATGTGATTTATGAAATAATGAAGCATTTATGATCTAAAGGTTATCAAAATTTATAAAAAAAGCTTAATATTTATTTGTTTACTTTACTTAAATTTTTTTTTTTCAATGTAAGTTATTTAAGCTGCTTCATTTTTCGTGCTAATTTTTTCTTTTTAAATCTATTGCCTGTCACTTCCTTCACTATTGGTAGCAGTATTTTCTGCATACAGAATCACACAACAGATTTCGCTGTCCATTTATTAATTGGATGATTAGGGCATTGTCATCGCTAAGAAAAACTTCTATCATATCACCTTCATTTACTACAGCTTCTCCACAATTCGTTACAAAATCCATTAATAGGAAAATTTCATCTTTGGTTTGCGATATCCAAAAACCTTTAAATTTGTGGCTATTATTTTCATCATTCTCATCATGAAATATGGTTGCTGGCCATAAATTATGCAAAGAATTTTTTAAAGTATCTGGAGACATCCTCCCATGACCTTGCGATGCTCCACACAGCAGATTTTATGCTAAAATATTTCAAAAATTCTTGAACAGCCTTGCCATTATTCAAGAAATTTAACGTGGATTTTAAAAATGCTACTTTATATTTGCATTTCAGTGCATAATATTTCAATATCCATAGGCTAAATGATAGACATACAATTTGGAGAAAAGAATGATACGGATACATTACCTTTGATTAAAACTTTAAGTGAAGTACGAGCCGAACAATTGTCTATAATCAGGACAATTTTTGCATCATCGGGTAAACTGAAATGTTGCCGAATGTCGGGTATGATATGATTTTAAAACCAATCATTCATTAACGCTGGTGTTATCAATGCTCTTTCATTTGGACGATATATAACGGGGATAATCTTTACTCTTTAATGTTGTGTATTTTTTCTAATTATGAAAAGTTTACATTCGTGTGTTCCTGCAGCATTTGCGCATGCCAAAATTATTAGTCTCGCTTTTGAATCTTTGACACCAGTTGGAGGCTTTTCTGTAGATGTTGCCAAGGTATTTTTTGATACATACTGCCTGGAAAGACTAATTCTATCAACATTGTAAATTTATTCTGAAGATACCTTTTACCTATTAATGAATTCATCCGCAAATTGTTCAGCAGTTTCAGTATCAGCTGAAGCTTTTTTACCTGAAATTTTAATTTGTTTATTTTTAAATTTGGTTAGCGAACTTGTCAATTATATGCACTCAGTTTTTAAGTTCATTTCTTCATGAAATATTTTGGCTTCAGTCATTAGCACTGGACTTGTCAATGGCATGCCCTTGCTGCAATGTTGTTTGACCCATTCAATCATCATTTTGTCATGATTGTCACTCTTAGAATAATGGATATTTTTTCTGTTATTCACTGCTAATGGGGTGTCAGAATCCACACACACAGAAGAAAAGAAAAGAAAAAAAAAGAAAAAGTTTCTTATGTCATAAACAGTTGACTGTCCAATGTTTCCAATAACTTCCAAGCCATTCTCCTTTTTGAGACGGGTATACCTTTATCCATTTTCCACAGCAATTCCACGTTTTGTTTAATGGATGTCGAAACAGGCTTTCACTTTGTAGATACTGTTGCAGCTCCAGAATTAGAAATTCTTTTCAACATAATTAAAAGTTCAAACTTTAATTGCTATAAAATTGCTGTAATAGTAATGGCCTGCAAAAAATAACAAGCTGGATCAAATCAGAAAGATAAGGAACAGCACAATCTGCTATATTAACTGAAATTCCTTTGGAATCAGTAAAGCACAATTTTAGCCTAGCTTAATAGCGTCCACTATACATTATTAGCTATGGATCATGAGACTGGCGACAAAAGACAAGTTGTTCTGCTAAATTTTGTTTTGTTTCTTCGCCCATCGAGACAAGTAAGCCTGAAGTGTATTAGTTATTTATTATACTTACATCTATATCTTACACATGCTTAGGCTTACCTGGGTCCTGAATAAATACATTCCCACATACACTAAAGGCTTATCAAGTGCTGGCATTAGATATCTCAGTGCCCCTGATGCAATCTCTATGTGTCTTAAATTCTGCTATCAAGTGCCTCTTAAAGTTCTAAATTTTTGCCAACATACAAAAAATCAATTCATACCAAAAAAAAAAGTTGGAAATTGCTTTGAGGTCCATATTTTAGATCATTCCAGATATTGGATTTCTAGATCTTGGACTTTGTACTGCATAAATGTTAGAAATTATTTGAAAGGCAAACACTTGGCAACATATTTTTTAGCCTTATTAGTATCCATGTGTTATTTGAAAGATGATACGTCATAAAAGCAAGGGAAAGTTATAAGCATTATTTGAAAAGCGATACATTACAAAACTTATTTGATACAAAAGTAAGGATAAGTTATAAAGCACTATATGTTACTGTTTGAAATGCAAACATTCAACAAGAACACATTTTTTAGCATCACAAGCCTCCATGCATTACAAAAATATACATACCACAAAAGTTCAGATAACGTCGTTCAGAGCATTGCAAGTAATATGTGTTATGTTTTGAACATTTGCATGTTGGACGATGACATTTTTTAGCATCATAAGGATTATGAAAATAGAGGTAATTTCCGATTACCAGCAACACCACTGAAAAGTTTATGTACTCAGCAACTTCAAAGAGCATTTCCAAATTTAGTGAGTACTTTG